ATTCCTTCCTTTCATTGATACTTTTTTCAAGAGCTGACAATGATTAGTTTCAAAATGTCTCTTTACATTCCACGTTCTGCTTACTACTGTTTCATTACACAGTATGCACAATGATCTGCTGTTTCTGTCGACAATCCTGTACATCTTGGTCCATATGTCTTGAAAGGGTTGGCTACTGCTACTTCCATTTCCTTTATCATTCAATCTTGCTTTTTTATTTTTTTTGATTCTCTATCTCAAGGCTGCAAAAATAAATATAAATCACGGCGTGTTTTTTTTTTTTTTATAAAAGGTTGATAGGTTTCTTACCTATTAACTTTTTGCAGTGTTGTTGCACTGACTCCTGGTGCAAAACAATTCAAAGATAGTATGTATAACCAACAAATATCTGGTGCTGTAATCAATTATCCGACACGCAGAATGTCTCATCGAGCATTGTTGCACTGTATATCTTTTTCTTCTAACCCTCCCACTCCTGTCTCCTAACGAACATGGCGATCAAGTGCGTCTGTTTGCCAAATGCACCCGAATGCACGGGAAGCTTACCCGAGGCACATGTTGACAATAACGAGGCCGTTTCCAGAATTGGGCATTTTGTCACTCAAGTACAAATAAAATGTCATGAGTAAAGATTAATCTCTTTATAGTGCAATTCTTAACCTTTTTATATTAATGTCAATATTGGAACAATATATCTTGGATGTTTTCACTATGTATCTTTGCTACGCAACACCAATGTACATGTTTACATCCGGTTTTAGAATTGCATTATTGATCATGAGTAACGTGAGTAATAATATTACTCGAGTGATGCCCAACTCTGGCCTTTGCGAGAGACAAATATTTGAATTATGCAATTTTCTGTGTCTGTCGATGCATGTCACCCAAAATGAGTTTGCGTGTCACCTCTGACACACGTGTCATAGGTTCGCCATCACTGCTATAGAACATCTGTACTTCTTTATGGGCCTCTGGAAAGTACATATTTTTCTTCTTCTATTTTTGATCTATGATCTCCACAAATTTCAAAAAAATAAATATGATTAAAATATTCCTAGAAGATTATAAACTTGAGCGTCAGAGTTTATTTCCCTCACCACCAAGACAAGTCCCAAGGCTTCCTTCCCTTGTTAACTTTTACCTTGAAAAAACAGACAAACAAAATAAAAGTGTAAAGAATTAGGATACCGAAAACCTAACAACACTTTATAAGGTTATATCTTCGAGTTCTCCTTGAAAGCTTCTATCACCCATGTCAAAGAACCTTTATGATGAGGGTTATGGAGTCATTGAATATGTTGGAAGACAAGTTGGCTACTGATTCTCTGTCATCAAGAGGCCCAACGCAACCAAGACTAAAGCAGGATTTCGGCTACTGGTGACATACGTATAATGCTTTTTTTTTTCATTTTATATGTAATTAATGTAACTGACTGAGATTCAAACATTTCTGGGGATATTTGCCAAGAAATTGGGTGGGAAGGGATTGGAAAAGTGAAACTACCTAACATTTCCTGGTTTTGTTTAAGAATGTGGGAAATGTGTGAGAAAATGCCTAAGTGACAGAGGTGAGAGAGAACGTGTCTCTGTGGTCTGGAGCCGGAGGCCTGGGGTGAATGGCTGTAGTAAAAACTGAAGGAGCTCTTTTCAATGACTGTCAGACAGTAGAGGTGCCGGCAGCATTGCCAATGAGTCATAAAAGGTATTATGAGCTGAACTATGACCCCTCCCCAAATTCATATGCTAAATTCCTAACCCTTAGTATCTCTGAATGTGACTGTATTTGGAGATAGGGCCTTTAGAGGTGACTAAATTAAAATGAATTCATTGAGGTGGGCCCTACTTGAATCTGACTGGTGTCCTTATAAGAGGAAATTTAGAGACAGCATGCACAAAGGAAAGACCATGAGAAGACAGCAAGATAGTGGCTATTGCCCAGCCTGTGTGGCTCCGTGGTTGAGCTCCACTCTTGCACCAAAAGGTCACTGGTTTGATTCCTGATCAGGACACATGCCCTGTTGCAGGCTCGATCCCAAGCAGGGAGTGTGCAGGAGGCAACCGATTGATGTTGATGTTTCTTTCTCATCAACACTTCTATCTCTCTCTCCCTTCCTCTCTCTAAAAATCAATAAAAGCAAATTATTTTTTAAAAGGATGGCTATCTGCAACTCAAGGAAAGAGGCCTTAGAGAAAACCAAACCTGATGACACCTGTCTTAGACTTCTAGCCTACAGAACTTGAGAAAATATATGTTGTTTGGGCCACTGCTTCTGTGGTAGTTTGTTAAGGCAGCCCCAGCAATTCCCCTTAATAAAGGAGGAATTCAGAAGCTTAGAGACTAAGTTGTAGATTGGTTTAAAACATACATAAAAGAAACCTTGGGAGCATTCACACATAAGTGAGAGACCTGAGGCCAGGAATTCCTGGACTGAACAGGTAAAAAGGACAATGCCAAGGACATTTACGTTATTTACTCTGAAAGTAATACTTGTAAATATAGCTACTAACATATATTAAACTGTGGAGAAACACATATTATAGGGTTTAATAATATGGACACATGACCCACACTTTTTAGCTTACAATTCTGGTTTTGTTTATGATCCTGGGTAAGTTAGTTAACATTTCTGTGCCTCAATTTCTTTATCAGTGGAGATAACAAGGCCAATCACATAGGATTTTTGTAACAATTAAATGAATAGGAATATAGTAATTTATGTGTTAGCTATCATTTTTATTATTATCATTATAAGCAGATACTAGTCAAAGTATTGAATCAATCTTCACAAAAATTCTTAGGTGACTGAAACATGGTGAGGTAAATTTAATTACTTATGATAACACCATCAGTAGTAGTGGGCCTAAGATTTGGCCTTAAATATTATGGACCCATAGATTATTATGCTCCATAGCAACAAAATCTTGATGTACAAAGCATCATAAAAATTCTAAATAGACCACTAAACAGAAGGTGTATTTGTGTTTATAAGATTTGCATTAATACTAGTGACTTATTCAAGTGACAAATTTACAATTTAAAAATATTCATTTATTTTACCACTGCAGTTTGAGAAGTGGAGAATGTTTAGACTGTGTATTGGAAGAATGTTTCTCTTTATTCTAATGACATATTATCTATTAACTAGAATCCTGGTGCACAAATTCATGCATGGGTGGGGTCCCGTGAGGGGGACCAATCAGGGGTGGGGCCAGCCGGACCCCAGCAGCAAGCTAACCTACCAGTCAGAGCATCTGCCCCCCGTCAGCCAGTGCACATTATAGTAACTGGTTGACCGGTTGACTGTCCCCTGGTGGTCAGTGCACATCATGGTGAACGGTTGAGCGGAGCTTAGCATATCATTAATATACTAGAGGCCCGGTGCACAAAAATTTGTGCACTCGGGGGGGAGGGGGTGGTCCCTCAGCCCAGCCTGTGCCCGCTCGCAGTCTGGGACCCCTTGGGAGATAACGACCTGCTGGCTTAGGCCTGCTCCCGGGTGGCAGAGGGCAGGCCCAAACCCTAGGTGCAGCCCCTGGTCCGGCTCAGAGCAGGGCCGATTGGGGAGTTGGGGTGCCGCCCCGTCATGCACAGAGCAGGGCAGATTGGGAGGTTGTGATGCCACCCTGTCACGCTCAGGGTAGGGCCAATAGGGGGGTTGGGGCACCGTCCCCTGTCACACTCAAGGCAGGGTCAATGGGGAGGTTGTGGCGCCACCCCCTGTCACGCACAGAGCAGGGCCAATCGGGGTTGGGGCGCTGCCCCTGTCACACACAGAGCAGGGCCCATCAGGGGGTTGGGGCACTGCCCTCTATCACCCACAGAGCAGGGCCGATCAGGGTGTTGGGGCACTGCCACTCTCACACTCAGGGCAGGGCCGATGGGGAGGTTATGGCTCTACCCCATCACACACAGAGCAGGGCCCGTGGCGGGGGGGGGGGTTGGGGAGCTCCCCCCTATCAGGCACAGAGCAGGGCTGCTCAGGGGGTTGGGGCCCCACCCCCTGTCACACACAGAGCCGCAGGGTGATCAGGGGGTTTGGGCGCTGCCCCCTGTCACGCTGATCCCAGTGCTGGGGGGCATATTACCCTTTTACTATATAGGGTAGAGGCCTGGTGCATGGGTGGGACCGGCTGGTTTGCCCTGAAGGGTGTCCTGGATCAGGGTGGGGGTCCCCACTGGGGTGCCTGGCCAGCCTGGGTGAGGGGATGATGGCTGTTTGCAGCTGGTCACACACCCTTCAGGGTGGGGGTCCCCACTGGGGTGCCTGGCCCGTCTGGGTAAGGGGCTGAGGGCTGTTTTCAGGCTGGGGGCGACTGAAGCTTCCAACCGCTCCTTTTTTCCTTTTTTCTTTTTTTTTTTTATTCTGGGCCAGCTTTAGCTCTGAGGCTTGGCTCCAGCTCTTAGGCCACCGCTCCTGAAAGTAGGTTTCTGGCCTTTGCATACAATGTTGCGAATCTGCTGGCTGAAGTCCGGCGGTATTTGTTACAATGTTTGAAACTGCAGGCTCAGAGGCCTGCAGCCGCAGGCGGGGAACATTGGTTTCCTCTGTCACTGAGGCAAGCAAGCCTCATGTTAGTTTCAAGCTGCCTGGCTGCCGGCCGCCATCTTGGCTGACAGTTAATTTGCATATCTTGCTGATTAGCCAATGAAAAGGGTAGCGGTCGTACACCAATTACCATGTTTCTCTTTTATTAGTGTAGATTACACTTCAATTGGTTGAATGGATGACCAGATGCTCAGGCACTCAGCATATTAGGCTTTTATTATATAGGATAAGCAATTAAGGGAAAATTAGATGATAAACAGTTGATTGATGTACACAGAAATAAACAGCTTTTAAAATATATTCAGAATGCTTTGCCATATGCATTTTTAAGAAGTAGAAATATCTGAATCCCAGATTGAACAGTACATTCTAAAAGAAATACTGATTACACTGTTCCCATTACAACTTCTTTACTTCACAAACAAGTTGTTACAATTGATTGAAGAAGGCATGCTATATTTCCTCTGCTATACAGGTGCATGGATTGAGAAATACCTCCTCATTTTCTTTAAGTACAATATCGTACATGCAGAGTGGTGGTCTGTAAGAGAGAAAGAGAAAGAAATAAAAACTCTTGGTAAAATTACAAAGTTTATTTTCTTCTCATAAATATTAGGGTATGTCATGCCTATAACCAACTACTTCTCCAAATGCAGGGCATTGGAACATGCCTACATCATGGTTTCCACTCTCTTATTGGGCTAGACTGGGATAAAGTAGACACATGGGGCGGGGGTGAGATTCTGTGTGTTTCCACTTCTCTCTTTGCTGCTTCATTGGAATATTTACAATGTGTTGTAGATATTGTTGGATACTCAAATAATTGAATAACTGAAACCTGAACTCATCTCAGTAGTCAGGCCACCTCTTGCATCATTGATAGTCACTATGGAAGAGTTAGGTTGAAAAGCATAGACAAATGTTGCAATATGATTTAATCAATTATTTTCGCCACCTACTAAAATGGAAATAATGTGTAAAGTATTCTATATTTTGGAGAGATTGTGTAGTTGGCATTTGAAGATTTCTGAGAAGTCAAGTAAATCAGGCATCTTGTGTAGTTATCTTCTTGCTAATACCTTGAAAACCTTAAAAAAAAAGTAATTAACTAGAATAAGACAAGATTGGCAAAGGTTCAGAAAAGTAGCTAAAGAAAAAAAATGGTAGCAATAAATACAAATTTTCTGTATCAGCAACAGAACTTAGTCAAGGAAAATGGGGTCATTCAACTTCATAGGTGCTGGTAGTTCACCTTAAATGGTCATTTGCACTTATCTAGTTCAAGAGACACATTGCTCCCAGTCTTCTACTAGCTTGGTTAAGACATCATTGAATAAAGTTTTAAAATATTCAACAGGTAGGTTAAATTATTCAATTTTTAAATAAACCTATTTTCTATTTCTGCTAATATATTTGAAAATGATAAAATATAGACATTCATATCTAATTATAAAACCTGATATACAATACTACAGTATTTTACATTTAAAATAATAAATATATGTTAAAACTTTATTATTAACTAGAGGCCCGATGCATGAAATTCATCCAAGAGTAGGCCTTCACAGCCTCGATCCCTCCCTCACAGTCCTGGCAGCTGCCTCGATCCCATGGCTGCAGACCCAGCTTCATCTGAAAGATCATCTGTAAGGTCGTCTAGAAGGACGTCCGGACAGTCATTCCACTATTCAGCCGTTTGGTCGATTTGCATATTTTGCTTTTATTATCATAGATAATATTGCAGTAAGTGTAAAATGATAGTACCTTAATCTCATAAGGTTTTTTAGATTTAGCAAAAATATCTTTTTATTACATTACTAGAGGCCCAATGCACGAAATTCTTGCAAGAGTAGGCCTTTCTTCCCCCAACTGCTGACACTGGCTTCCCTCTGGCACCAGGACCTGGGCTTCCCTCTGGCCGCCGACAGGCACCCGGGACCTGGGCTTCCCTTACAGCCCCGGCTTCATCTGGAAGGTTGTCCGGAAGGATGTCTGGTCTAATTAGCAAATTACACTTTTATTTTTATAAATTAGAGAGCAGAATATAATTGAAAAATCAGATTCATCCTTTCTCCATTATTAAGAATTAAGTAGAGGAATGATTTTATCATTACCCCACCCAAATTTATCTATACTTATATCAATTATTTATTCTGCTACATCCCTTATTCACTGAATGTGCCTTCAGTGTTCTGGATCTCCCTCCATCTCATTTCTTTAAAAATTCTCATGTGATTATGTTTTTTTAATGGTTTTAAGATGAGAGAAAGAGAGAGAGAGCAAGAGCAAGAGAGAGAGAGAGAGAGAAACATAAATGTGAGATAGAAACAGTGATCATTTATCTCCAGTATGTGCCCTGATTAGGCTTTGAACCACAACTTAGGTATGTGCCTTGGCCAGTAATCAAACCTGCAACCATTTCTTGTATAAGATGACACTCCAACGAACTGAGCCACCCATCCAGGGCTCCACCTCATTTCTTAACTTGCCATAGTAGGACAAGTATGTCATTAAACTTACTAATGGATAAATTACCTCTGCCATTAAGTGATTCTGCTATTCACATACCTATACTTATAAAAGGGTAATATGCTAATTAGACCAGACATCTTCCAGACGACCTTCTGGATGTCCTTCTGGACAAAGCCATGATGGCGGGGCCAAGGCAGAGGTGGCTAGGGGCAATCAGGCTGGCAGGGGAGAGCAAATATGGGGATCAGGCCAGCAGGGGAGAGCAGTCAGGGGGATCAGGCCAGCAGGGGAAAGCAGTTAGGGCAATCAGGCTGGCAGGGGAGAGTAGTTATGGGGATCAGGCGAGCAGGGGAGAGCAGTTAGGAGGATCAGGCTGGCAGGGGAGAGCAGTTATGGGGATCAGGCTAGCAGGGGAGATCAGGCCGGCAGGCAGGTGAACGGTTAGGAACCAGTGGTCCCGTATTGTGAGAGGGATGTCTGACTGCTGCAAGGGGTCCCGGATTGGAGAGGGTGCAGGCCGGGATGAGGGAGCCCCTCTCCCCCGATGCATGAATTTTATGCATCAGGCCTCTAGTTTATAATATAATATTAGAATTACCAAGCATGCAAAGGAGCAAGAAAATGGACCCACATGATGGTCAATCAATTGAAACTAACCCAAAACTAGCACAGATATAAGAATCAACAGGCAAAGACATTAAAAGAATTATTATAACTGTATTCCACGCATTCAAATAGTTAAGTAGAGACATAAAAGATTAAAAAATCAACCCAAATCCAACTTCTAGAGGTGAAACTATAATGTCTGATATGAAAAGTACCCTGGATGAGATTCATGTCTGATTAGACATTCTAGAAGAAAAGAATAGTGGTCTTAAAGACATAGCAACAAAATATATTCAAAAGGAAGCAAAAGAGGAATCAAATTTAAAAATTAACAGACCATAAGTGAGCTGTGCGATAATTTCAAGCAGCCTAATAAACTTGAAATAGTCACCAAAGGGAGAGGAGAAAGAAAGGGCACAGAAAAATATATTTCAAAAAATAATTACAAATTTTAATAAAACTTGATGAAATCTATAAGATCATAGACCCAAGAAGGTCAAAAACTCAAAACACAAGAGGTATGAATAAAATTACATGTCACATAATCAAACTCTTTAATATCAGTGATGAGAAAAATCTTAAAACTAGCCGGGCGGGGGGGTGGGGGGTGGGGAGTATTTTCTTTATAGGAACAAAGGAATGATAGTAACAAATTTCTCAATTGGATAAATCCATGGTAGAAGACAGCACAGCAACATCTTTAATGTCAAAGTAAAAAAAAAATCTGTCAAACTAGAATTCTATAACTAGGTAAATTATCTTTTAAAAGAAGGCATTGAAAAAAAAATAATAACAACCAGCAGACCCATACTACAAAAAATCTTAAAGGAACTCCTTTAGTCAAAATATAAATTGTACCACATAAAAGTATACATCCACATAAGGTTTAGAAGTACACCAGAAATGATAACAAAGTGAATAAATATATGAGTTTCCCTAATTATTTATAATATTTTAATAGTCTTACTCTTTAAAAATATGATACATTGCATTTTGAAATTTTTTAGCATATGTACAAGAAAAATGTATGCCAACATAAAAACAAAATCTAGAATGAAAAAAGTGGAATTATATTATATACAGTTTTTACGTTATATGGTAAGTGGTAGCATTCATTTAAAGGTAGACGGCAATAAACTAAAGATTATAATAGAGATCTCCCCAAAAACCCTCTAAAATAAATTTTAAAGAGTTATAGATAATAAACCCACAAAAGATAAAATGAAAGTATAAGACTACTCAATGTACACAAAAGAAGGCAGACAATGAGAAAAATGGAAACAAAGAACAGATAGGAAAAATATGAAGCAAAATAGCAAGATGATAAATTGAAATCCAACCACATTAACCATCATATTACGTTAAGAGATGTAAATACCCTTAATAAAATGGCAGAAGTCATAACATAATTTGTCATTAGAGAAATGCAAATTAAAAACACAAAGAGATATCTTAATACCTATTAGAATAGTGAAAACAGAAACAAAACAAACAATAAATCTGGCAAAAGTATAGTATTTGGTGCAGGAGAACAGTGGAATTCTGACAAATGTCAGTGGGAATGCAAAATGTACAATCACTTAAAAAACAGCCTGGCAATTTCTTATAAAGTTAAACATATACTTACAATATGACCCAGCAATCTCACTGATATATATTTATTCAGCAGAAATAAAAACTTATATTAACATAAAAATCTGCATGCAAATATTTATGTTGGATTTATTCAGAGACAAATATCAAAAACTGTGAACAAATTATATGCCCTCCAACTGGTGAATGGATAAATGAACTCTGGCATATCCTATCTAATAATAGACAAACATGGTAATTAACCATACCTCCGCTATGCTTCCCATTGGCTAATCAGGGCGATATGCAAATTAACTGCCAACAAAGATGGCGGCCAGCAGCCAGGCAGCTGAAGCGAACATGAGGCTTGCTTGCTCCAGTGATGGAGGAAGCCAAGGTTCCCCGCCTGCCACAGCCAGGCTCTGAACTCCAGTCTAAGCAACTACGTTAAAATTATAGAAGCTAAACAAACCCCAGATACCTGCTTTCAGCCAGCCAGCCTAGGAGCTGGAGCCGCAAAAACGTTTCAATTACAGAAGGTAAATAAATCCCAGAATAAAAAAAAAAAAAGAAAAAAAGGAGAGACTGGGAGCTTCAGTTGCAGGCTTGGCCCGCCTGAAAACAGCCTTCAGCCCCTCATCCAGGCTGTCCAGGCACCCCAGTGGGGACCCCCACCCTGAAGGGGGTGCAGGCAGCCTGAAAACCGCAATCAGCCCCTCATCCAGGCTGGCCAGGCACCCAAGCGGGACCCCCACCCTGATCCGGGACACCATTCAGGGCAAACCAGCCGGCCCCCACCTGTGCACCAGGCCTCTATCCTATATAGTAAAAGGGTAATATGCAAACTGGCCCTAACAGCAGAAGGACTGGGAATGACTGGTCACTATGACA